TTTGCAATAAATTCTTCGCAATTCTTATAATTATATTTCTTGTAATCACACAAATCAATGGTCTTATGAGTCATTTGAGACTCATTTGTAAAAGAGTCGAAGAAATTTGTGTAAATTGTTTCAATTATAGTATCGTATATAATTTCATATATTTTGCCATTTATTGCAACATTTAGCACACATAAATTATCTTTTAATGAAATAATTATATTCATTTCTGTAAACCACTTATCAGTATTTAACACTTTTAGTGATATTTGTGATAAATCTTTATTTTTTTCATTGATATTTTGTCCGCAAAAATGAATGAATCCATCGTTTGATAAGAAGTATGTGAGACAACCATTAGAGCAGATAGTCTTAATACCAGTCATCCCTGCAATGAGTTGTGGTTCCCATATATTATTCAATGAATTGTGTCCCAAATTATAAAATTCATTTCGACCCCAACTAAACACCTGTCCCTCAGATGTGATGGCAAATGAAGAGTAAGCACAACAATAAATGCTTTTAATTTCGGGTTTAGAATTGAAATTCACTCGAAATATGTCTCCTTTTTGTATATCATTGTCTGGTCCATAACCTAATTGTCCGAACATATTATGACCCCATCCATAGATACATCCATCACTCGTGAGTATAAGTGTGTGATAATAACCACAATTTAATTGACAAATAATCTTATTTTCTATGTTTTTGTTATCAATGGCTACAGGTTCTACGTACAAGTTATTCTTTACCTTGGGTGAGAAACCCAACTGTCCCACATTATTATAACCCCAACCATAGAGACAATTATGGTGAGTGAGTGCTAACACAAAGTCGTATCCATTGAAGAATTGTGTGATATTCTTGTGACACAATCTGTCGATTACTTGGATTTCATTGACGTATAGATTGTGTCCCAAACCAAGAGATCCCCAATAATTAGATCCCAAACCATAAACTATGTCATCATTTGTTATTAATAATACATTATATCCTCGTTTGTCGTCAAATACATGAAACAATTGAATAGATTTAATAATATTCTCTCCAATTTTATTATTTTCTTCAACAAGTGTTTTATTGTATGAATCATTGGATTCGTGTCCTGTTGGATTCACATTATTTGAATCTGATTTTAGGTTTTCTTCCAAATATTGTTCGAAAAACTTGTAATCATTTTGTTGAATGAGGTTTAGTGTGGATTCAAATGTGGGATCATTTTGGAGACAATTCCTATCAATAGACCATAAGTTATATTCCGATATTACTTGTGAACACTCGGGTCTAGTGCTATGAATGGGAACACACATCGAGTCTATGATTTGATCCAATTTAATGAATTTGTCGTATATTTTATATCCCGAATAAATACTCAATTTCGGAGAACTGTAAACAAAAAAAATAATATATTTTAATTAATGGTGACAATAAACTAAACATCAAAATAATTACTTAATACTATTCAAATTAAATAATTTGTGTGCAATAACTGCAAGACTATATATATCCGCTTTATGTGTATATTTTGTATGCAATTTAACTTCTGGTGCCATGTATCTAAGAGTTCCCACTCCTGTGGCATGACATCCCAAGGAACTGGAGTTCAATGTTGCCAACCCAAAGTCACCTAACTTTATAAACCTCCGGTTCTTGACTTTTAGTGCAATCAATATATTGTCGGGTTTGAGGTCTCTGTGAATGATCAGTGGATTCAATTCATGTAAATATTGAACGCATTCTAAGATCTCTT